TAATTTTGATATTAAATACCATTACCACCTTTTATTCTTGTAATAATTAAATGTAATTATAAATATACTAAAATTAAATTGAGATAATTATTAACATTTATAAAAGATTAAAACCATTAATAAATAAATTTTATGGCTTAGTTTGTTATTATAATATTTATAATGGAAAAATATATTTAAATACATGTAATTATGTGACCAATAATCTTGTAATTGATTCTTGATACCGAATTGTGCATTATCAATATTCTTTAAAATAAGATTGAGATTTTCATTAATTATCTGAATTCTAGAATAATTATTGGATAGCCATTTAAGGTTTTTAGTGTGGATATATATTTTATAAATATGATATCAAAGAGAAAATGGAAAATGATTTTTATTATTTAATATTCGTTTGTTTGATGAAGTTTATTAAGATTTTTACTATATTCATCTACAGATCGATGATAATATTAGAATTTACTAATTAACCATCATAGATAATTCATTTTTGTACACAATTTCTAAATGAATTTATGATACTTAAGTGTGGCTTATTAATACATCAAGATAAGTAATCTGAGAAAAATTCTTTTGAAAGGTTTCTTGTATATATTATTAGACCCTACACATATTTTATTAGATCAGATTTACAGGTTACATATACCTTTATAATTTTTATATTTATATAGACTTTGATAATATATTGGGGTTATCTAGTCCAGTATAGTGAGAAAAAAGACACAAAATCATTCATAAATGTAATAATTAAATATGAATGTCATTCTACCCTGAATTTCTTGTTAATTTATTTTTGGAAAGCATCATTTCTTCTTGTTACAGAATTTATAGGTTTAAGAATATTAGAAGGATTCTTTGAACTTTTATTAGATGAAATTTAAGATAATCTATTTAGTATAATATGTTCCATAATTGTCATTTTTGAAATCATAGTCATCATTTTATTCTAAGAATTGTTTTGGAACTAAAGTTTACATTATATACCAAAATAATTAAATAAAATAATTAAATAAACATCATTTATTTTATATTCAAAAATACTCAAAATTATGATTATTTTGATCTTTTCTAGTTAGATAACTAATAGATCTTATATTGTATTAGGAATTTCAATATTTACTGCTTTATTTGAGTTATATATACAATTAATAATAAAAATTAGATTAGATATAATACTTATAAAATTGAATGTATTAATGTAAAGCTTAATAATTTGTGTTGCAACTTAATAACTCAATATTTTTGTTAGTAATACTCAATTATAATATTTATGGATTATTGTCGCAATTTTATTTTATAAATCTATATGTTCAAGCTATCTAAGTGAGTCTATTTTATCAAAATAATTTTATTAAACAAATTAAAACTAAATTAAAAAGAAATTAATGACTGGAAGATAAAATATTTATTTCTATTAAAAATTAACTTAAAAAAGAGATTCTGAATATAGATTGACAAATAAAATTTTGATTAAAAACCATTAAGAGGTTTGTAATAATAAATCTTGTTTTTGTCAAAATGAGGATATGGTTATGATTAAATTGAATCGTATATTACAGAAAAACTTAATTTAAGAATACAAACTAATAATTTAGTAATAAAAATCATCATTTATCTACCTTGATTATATTTAATTGTTAGTACTAAATGATAAGTATTTTGAAGCATTCAATATTACTCATAGATTAATTAATTAATTTCATAGATAATCAAAATTTACTCCATAAGCACTAATAATCAAGGGTTAAGTTACATTGTAACAAAAGTTATTGTTTAAATTACTTTAATAATAAATATTGATGGCAATTCAGTTTTCTATTAAAAATAGTTCTTAAAATTCAACCAAGACATAAGGTTTTAAATAAGCAATTAAATCTTATTAAAAAAAGAAGGACTCTGAGAAGTTTATTTTAAATCAGTTCAATAAAATCTTGAAGTAAAAAATTGAATTTTTGGAAGAATTATCAAATTCACAATCTTTAAATGCTAAAATAATAAATAATAAATCAACAAAAATTATAAATCTGATTGATTAGTTTAAACAATAATTGATTCTGAATTTTTAAAGAATTCCAAGTAATTATTATATGTTTATTAAATTATAGCTAGTAGTAATAAAAGCTTATTGTTATTCTTCCAAATTGAAGTTATGAATGATCTTATAAATTCTCAAATAATTAATGCAGTTAGCACATTATCAGAAAATTAAGAAGAAACGAAGTTTGTAAATAATATCTATTAGTAATTTGTCAATCAATATTCATATGCAAAATTTATTCTTGGTGAGGAAGGCAATATTGAATTGGCCTCCAATAATTCTTTAAATTAAATTAAGATTGGGAAGAATAATTATAGTGCATTTATAGAAATGGTACCATTATCTTTAGTTTCTCATCATACAGTCAAATCAGAATTCGATTAATATATTTTAAAAGAAGTGTAAATAGTTTATGAAAGAATTAATTTCTAGAGGATAGAATAAGTATTATCTAAACCTTAATCAATCTTATTTATAAATATCAACAGGAATAATAATTCCAATAGAATTTTG